TTTTTATTTTGACATAGATTGCATGGAAAGTCCACAACTTGTAGATTGGGATTCACCACCAATCTTTGATATATACTCAGATGAACAACAAGATTTCTCAGGAGATCTGAACTATGATAAGGATCAAGATGGTGAAGATATCTTGGAAGAGGGTGAAGAATATTGAGAGAAGGCAACAAGACTAATCCAATTCATGGCCTTTGAAGATGTCATTAATATTGCAGAGATAGAGCATTCAAGAAATTCAAGGTATTGGAATCAGAATGGTGCAGTGGAAGCATTGTTGATTCAGAATCTGCAAATTGTGGCCCTAATTCCTCAATATACATATCACAATCCGTTTCTCAAAGAATTATCTTTACCACGAATAATATTTGAGCCAACAAAGCAAAAGAAGATTGAAGACGGTATTTTTGTTGCTGAATTCATCTTGGTACACTTCAAAACTCAAGAACGAGTTTTCTCCAATCAAGGGAGAATGAGGGAGGAAAAAATTGTTCTTATTCTTTATTTCTATTCAACTTTAAAGGATGTATATTATAGTTTCTTTTAAGGCTTATTTGTTTTTAATTTTTTAGGGATCCTAAGTTTTTATATTCTTTTGTATATTTCATGAGAACTATTCACAAGTATTATTCACAGATACTACTCATAGGGGTATATTTGTCATTACGAAATTTAAGATTAAATTAGGGAGTTTAGTTTCAAGTTATGCTTAAGTTAATAATATGGACAAATATTGTCCAAAATAATAATTTTCTATTATAAATAAAGATGTGGTTGGGCTAGAGAGGCATTCACGTATTCCTCTTTAAGAAAAGAAAAGATTTTGTCTTGTAAAAGAATCCAAAAGGTTGAGCCCTAGGTTGGGGAAGGCCTTAGGGTTTTTCCAAAATTGCTTGTGTCAAAGTGCTTCTTGCTGATTTTTCTATGTTTCTTCAAGTTCTCCTACATCATAAGGTAACCTTGCTATATATATAATAATTTCTAGAAATTAATGCGATGCCATCAATGTCTTAGACGATAGCATGCACTTTCCTATGTTGACACAGAGAGAGAGAGAGAGGGAGATCCTGTGCTGATGGCGAGCAAAATTATTCTTATTTTTGTTTTTATTCAATTTTAAGGGATGTATAATATAGTTTTAACTTTAGGGTTTATTTCTAGGGTCTTTTTAGTCTTTAGGGTTTATTTCTAGAGTTTTTAGGGATTCTAGGGATTTTATATTTTTTTTATTTACTTCGTGAGTACTATTCACAGGTAATGTTCATGAGTACTACTCATGACTACTGTTCACAGAGGTGTATGGAGCCTTTAGGGGATCATTCCACATGATTTTTTGAAATGAAAGAGAAAAAAGCTTAGGCTTTTGAAACCTAGCTGGGGTGTGGAGCAGAAACCCTTGGTTTTTTCGAATTGTGTTTGTGTTTGGCTTTTGTTTCTCTTTTATTTTATTCCCTCAAAATCTCTTGCATCAAATTGATATCAAAACCTACGATCCATATGGATAGTACTGTAGCAAGTATTGTAGCACGCAAATTGTAGTGTCAATTTTTGTGCCATAGATCAACAACGAAGCCTATATCTTGTTTATTTCAGCATGTGTTTGTTGATCATCTGCCTACGATTTGTTTTTCGACGATCCCATGACGATAAGAAAGGGTCGTGCAAAGGGGGGGTTCGTAAATCCACTCCGTGATCCTAGAGATGACAAAATTGAGGAACTTGAAAGGCAAGTTCAATAGTTAACTCAGTATTCGCAAGCCTCAATAATGGGCAAAACGATGATCTTTCAACCCAAGAGGATCTCGAATACGACCATTTTCATCATCGCAATCCACGTGTGGAGTCAGGTGATGAGGAAAGTGATAGAAGACCTAGACTTTGGGAACATAAATCTAGGGTTTTCGATTTGAAGGATGAGATTATTGATTTTGACACAGATTATATCACACATCAGCAAGTTGTAGATTGGGATTCACCACCAATCTTCAATATATACTAAGATGAACAACAAGATCTCTTAGAAGATCCAATCTATGATAAGGATCAAGATGACGATGTAGATATTTTGGACACGAGTGAAGAATATGGAGAGAAAGCAATACGAGGATTGATCCAAATTATTGCCTTTGAAGACCTCATTAATATCGAAGAGGTAGAGAGCATTCAAGAAATTTTGGGTATTGGAATCAAAGTATTGCAATGGAAGTGTGGTCGACTGATTAACTGCGAATAGTGGCCCTGGATTAAGAGAGTAGTAAATATATATGGAGAAATCTTTTAGAGGACAGAAAATTGAGTTTGAAGTTTCCCACACAATTTTCAATGGGAGTTCAAGGGCATCCATATTTGATAAATTTGCATTGATTCGTCAATATACATATCAAGATCCATTTCTTGAAGAATTATTTTTACCATGAATAATATTTGAGCCAACAAATAAGAAGGTTGAAGAAAGTAGTTTTGACGCTGAATTCATTTTACCACACTTCAAAACTCGATGACGAATTTTCTACAACTATGGGAGAATGATGGAGGGCAAAATTATTCTTATTATTTATTTTTATTCAACTTCAAGGGATGTATGTTATAGTTTTAGCTTTAAGGTGTATTTCTAAGATCTGTTAGTTTTTTAGGGATTTTAGGTTTTTATATTTTTTATTTATTTCATGAGTGCTATTCACAAATACTTAAATAGTATTGCTTATCACTACTGTTCACAGGGGCAAAACTGTCATTACGAATTTATTGTTTAAGTTTTTTTGGGTCATTTAATTATTGTATGGACATTACTGTCTTTGGATACTAAGTTATAACATATAAGAGGCGGGTGGGGCCTTGAGGGATATTATAATAGGTGTGTGGGGCACTGAGGGGGTCATTCCACATGATTTTAGAAATTGAAAGAGAGAAAAGGGCATCCGAATGCTTTCGGATGTGCATCTTTTACCATAATAGGGCATCCATGTTTAAACCATAATGGATGAATCTTTAGACTAAAACTTGGAATAGCACAGAATAAAGAGGACACTGGTCAAGTTCGAGCACTAGTAGACCCTTGCTTTCATTGCCCCAAACCAATGCGTCATTCCAGCGAGCCATAGTGACTTTGTGTTGTGAACTGATTTCATGACATCATAAATTTAGAAATGGCATGGGAAATAAACCAAGATCTATTGCTCCAGAAATCACAACTTTGACAATGCATGTTATAATCTCATCTCCGAGGACATCAATGAGAGCCCCATACTTTGGCCAAGATTCTTTGCACAAGAAATCATAACATTAATGAAGAGCACCATCCCAATGCACGAATAGTCTCATCTCTAAGGATACCGACGAGAACCCCATATCAAACTTTTTCTTTCCATACATCCATGAACAGAAAAGGGACCGGAGGAATAAACCAAGATCCTTTGCTTCAGAAATCACAACTTTGATGAGAATCCCGAGCTCAATGCATGAAAAATTTCATCTCCAAGGATATCAACAAGAACCCTAGATTTTAGCCAAGGGTCATGCCAAAAATAGAAACTTGAAAAATCCCCATTGAGCCATCTCCTCCACATTTCAGAATTGATAGGGAGTTCAATTACCTTTCCAAGGATGAGAAGAAGTGCGTAATGTAGCAGAAGACAGATTGGAATATTTTGAATAAAATGTTTTTGTCTAAAGACTAGAGAGAGTAGTCTCTTCCCGAAGCAAATTGCTGCCAAACTACTCTGAAGCAAAGTTGATGCCAAGTTTCACTACTTGAGCTCTTTTCATGTCTTTGGAAAGTATGAAACCATCACAACCTTCTTCCGCTTTAGAAATTCAATCCCATTATCATAATATAGTTTTTCAGAATTATTAGCGCCTACCCACAGGAAACATTTGAGAATGTGTTCAAAAGAAAGCTTTTTTCCTAAAATGTTTAAAAGACAAGAACCAGTAAAGGGAAATGGCATGAAGAAGAGAGAAACTAAAGTTAAACGCAGAGGAGAGGACAGATTCAGCCACTGAATCATTGACGTTAGAAGAGATTTTATCAGTTAGAATTCGGTAATAGCCAGCCCTGAGCTTTCCAATAAATAATAGGAGACCTATTTAGAGGGTAGATATGCTTTTGGAAATCTAAAATAGCTGTTAGCTAGTGTGCTTTTTTGTTATGAGTATTATTTTTCTTTAAGAAGAACAAGCTAATCAACAAACAAAACCAATACTTGAAACCTAAAATAAACATAGCAAATCTGCATTTTGAATTTTTTTTAAGATAGGGATAAAAAAACCAGATGCATCAGCAATTTCCCTTTAGAATGGTGGAGTACGTTCGTCAGATTAATTCCGAGAAATTACATATAAATGCTTAATCCCACTGAAATGTTCCAAGAACGCTACCAACAAGAATAATAGCTTTGGCATGATAATGTATTAATAAAAAATGGAACAAAAAAAAAACAAAGCAAAAAAAAAAACAAGTTGCATAAACAGGTTTGATATTACTTTGATGGATGAACCAAAAGTCCCAGGTTGGAATAATCATGCACAGCAGGGAACAAGAACAAACAGGCAGGAGAGGTCAATCAACCCAGCTTAAGGAAAAACTTCCATGATCATTATGAGCACAACAGAGTAATCAGCAGGAGAAAGAACAACATAAGAGAGAACTGCATGAAGATAATAGAAATGGTCAGATTTTTCATACAAGTGTAAATCAGGTCCGATTTTTCATACATGTGTAAATCAGGTAAGATTTTTCATACACGTGTAAATCAGGTCAGATTTTTCATACACGTGTAAATCAGCATATACCAAGTCTAGAAAGATCAGATACTTGAAGAGATGAAAGCCAAAGGTCAATCATAATGAATTTAAGCAAATATCAAACACAAACAATGAATACCGGCACAATTACGGAAAGTGGTAGTGCACTATGTAACAACATCACATAGGAGAAAACATGCTATAAACCCACTAACAAAAGATCCACATCAAGCAAGGGAAGAATAACATACTTGTAACATCAAGTAAGCCGCATAACAGATGGAGCAGTCAACTATCTGAAGTCAGTATGATCTGTAAAGACCAAGTAAACCTTTTTCCCTCTCTTCCGTTCTTCTTCTTGCAGCCTCTCTTGCTTGGAGCGCAGCAGCTTCCTCACTGGACATAGACTTAGGTTTATCTTCCCTCTTCCTCTTGCCAACAGAAATTGATGAAGGGGCACCCTTAGAGGATCCCCTAGAGTGCATGTATGATGAAACAACCAACCCTGGAGGAGGACCACCTTTATATTTCCCAGAGTCTTTTGATACTTTTATAGTAGACTTCTCAGAGACATCTGATACAGATAGTAAAACAGATGTTTCATGTTTAGGTTCCAGAGAGCTAGAGATACTATAGCTATCAGACCCTGAAACTTCGGATGAAGATCTAAGTATTTAATAACTCAAAATCCACATTTACTCTTTGAAAATAATCAACTCGTGATTTTAGGTTGATCCTAAAATTTTCAGATCAAAAAATCTTCCTAGGTAGCTATTTAGCCATGTATAATATGGTCCCATGGGAGCATGATATACACATGCGCAGTATTGGCCAAATCCATAAGATACTAAAGCTTACTTTACCATCTTTTGATGTTATTAAACTTGCTTTTGTATGTGGATCATCCACAGCAGTTTCCAAAGTATCAGTATTTGAATCTGCACCTTTCTTGAAAGCAGCTAAATCCTTCTGATAGCTGCGGTTAGCTTTCTGAGAGAACAATTGAAATTGACAATTAGATAATATATTAGAAAATAATCCATTATCACATAGAGATAAACTTAAAGTCGCCCTTCCTATACCACTTTAGTGCTGGGAAATATGAAAAAGAAGTGTGATAAGGAAAAGAACCCTTTTCATCATTCTATCCTAAGAATGTTTGCACACCAGGTATGAAACATGCAAACAGGTACTAATTCCACAAAAATTGATGCGTATGTCAAATAGTGAAGGATGTCAATCAAATGGCAAAACGAATACTAAAGGGAAACACAGAATTTCAAACTCACCAAATGATAGAGGCTACCCAAATGAGTGCAACTGCTGTTGGATGGGATATACTTCTGACAAATAAATGAATAATTTTAGCTGCCATGTCTCCTTGACTCCATAACTTGTATTATGAGCAGAAAATCATTTTTTGTACTATAGTATTTGTCTAAGTGTATTTCTTACAATTTAAAATTGTCTGTTGAAAGGATGATTTGTAATTATTTTCAATGTAATGAAGATTTTCCTTTAGGATTGCATTTCTTTTCGTCGCCACCCTCTCATAGTTATCTTCATTCACACTCGTCCACAACTCCGTTCTTCTAAATGGCATCAGAGCCAAAATCAAGAGGTTTTAGAATCATGAAACATGCACCACATGCACATATGCGCAAGAGAAGAGTGACAATGGCAGCAAAAGCGGCCACAATAAAAGATAAAATTTCTTGAGAGAAACTACAGTACCACACAGAAATTGGGAGTAGCTTTGTCAAAAATCTGTCAATGGCAGTGCATATGACACCCGAGAATCCCATCCAACCCCTGTGGTTTTCTTCTAAGAGATTTATCCAATCCATAGTCTCATGGTTAAGAAATCGAGGTTTAAGTATGTCATATAATGGGGTTCTTCTTGCTCTAATATCTAGATTCTTAACTATATTTGGCATATGTTTAAGTCTTAAGTATGACTCTCGGGAATGGTTAACTATGCCAACTCCGGGTGGGGAGAAGAAACTAAAGCTGCACCACAATAAAGAACTATCAACATCTTATCTTGCTGCGCTTGAGAGATTGTAGCAAGATAAGAATGAGATGGGCAGAATATGACCACACACCAATGATTTTGTAAGTAATAAAGGAGTCTTCTTACTCCCGGCATCCATTTCCAACAAAGGAACAATGTCAGTTGTTTCGTGGTGGGATCTATATAGCGCTGCCAACGAGCCGGCCCTGCCCGAGGCCCGGATCTTGTTTTGAGCCAGACCGGCCCACAAACAGTACATAGAAAACTGGGCCCAGCCCACAAACAGTACAAAGGCGACCCAGCCTAGACCGTGAAGACCCATTAGGCCCACTGGATCTGGCCCGGCCCATTTTTTTTGGGGGAGGGGGGGAGGGAGGGGGGGTTAAAATTTCTCTGGGGACTTTTCTTAGAAGGAAAAAAAGTTCAAAGGCCAGTTAGGCTCAGTGGGCTTGGCCCGGACCAATCCAAGCCTGACCCAATTTTTTTTTTTACTTCCTTCCGATTTTTCTTATAAAAAATTGCTAATTAATTTTCACAAATTTAAATCCCCTTTAAATAAAAATACTAGAAAGAGTAGGTCAATATGCTTCTAGAGAGAGACAGATATTTGGGTTTTTTTCTTGAGTTGGGTTTTTGGATGGGAGAGACGTTAGGGTTTGTTTGAGATGGGTTTAGAGAGGGGTCTTTCTGGAGTGGGTATTTGGAAGAAGAGAGGTACTTTTTTTTTTTTTTTCATGGGTTTTTTTGGAGAGAGAGTGATTAGGGTTCTCTAGGTTTTTGGAGGGAGAGTGATTATGGCTTTCATGGTTTTTGGAAGGGAGAGAGGATGGGGTTTTTCGAGTGGGTTTTTTGAAGAGGGAGAGAGAGATTAGGGTTTCGGGGACTCACCCGCCTTCAACGTGCTTGTGAGGACATTTCCAGCCATTGTTGCCCTTCTTTTTGCGAAAACCTTTGCTTTGGCTTCTATTTCTTTTGATGTGTCCTTTAATGGAGGATTCAAAACGCCGATCAAGCATCATTTTGCAACATACCTAGAGAGCTCTAGTTCTCTAGTCTCTCGCCCTCCTCTCTCTCTCTTCTCTCTCTAAGCCTTTTCTTTTTCTCTCTAGGTTGGGGGGCCTGGTATCTGGTTTTATACTAGTGGTCGATCTGTTGGTAATCTGATTTTAGAGAGAGAGAGATGGTCGATCTGCTTCTAAAGAGAGAGAGGGCTTTATGGGAGAGAGGACTACGTGAGTGAGGCCAAAGAGAGAGAGAGAGGGGGCTTTGTGAGAGAGCAGAGAGAGAGAGAGGGCTCCATGACTCACAACAGAGAGGTGAGAGGGAGAGAGCGAAGCCATGTTAGGTTCTGTTTTTGGGGTTAGGTTTAGAGAGAGAGGGTTAGGTTTCTTTTTTGGGTTAAAGGTAAATTAAGATTTGAGAGAGAGAAAGAGAGAGAGGGGAGGGTAGAGTTTTTTTTTCCTTATTATAAAAAAAAATATTTGAAGAGTAACAAAAGAAAAAAAATCTTCTAAATGGGCCGGGTCGGGATTTATTTGGGCCAGGCCATGACTTGAGGTCGGTTTTAAGGCCCGTTTGGGGCAAACAGGCCTTTTTCGGGCCGACCTATTAACAGCCCAGCCGTACCCATGTACCCATGTTTACATGGTGACCCAGCCCAGAGCCCGAAACCAGCCCAAAAACAGGCCCGCTAGGGGCCCGTAACCAGGCCCAACCCTGCCCATTGGCAGCCCTAGATCTATATGGTGGTGGGTTCTTGAATTATATTCACTAGCTGTTAAGGTGTTGTCTTAAAGTGTCAACTCATCATGTACTGAGAGGTGCTAGAGTACATATAGGTATATTCACAGTTTTAAGCGGAACATATTAAATATTCAATGCTCCAAGTCATTGGTTTATGTTCACTACAATAACAAGGTGTTAAGCAGATTGCGATCAGACTATGCAGAGAAATACAAAGGATGGGATTTTCATCCTGATGATGACCACCTTGAGGATGATATTGGGGTATTACAAGTATTAGGCGACCACATTGATGCTGATGATGAGGCTCGTCAAGGTGCTCCATTACCAAGGCATGTCCCTCCCATTACATCTTCAGGCCATGACACAAGTTTGGCATGCACTATTCCCTCGGAGTCCCCAGCAACCCAGAATCCTACCACTCAAGGGTCATCTTCTTCGAATGTAGTCTCCTCTACTTCCATTGTTTCTAAAGGCTAGCTCTCCAAAAGGGCAAGAGGACAAGATGGCCTACTCTCTCTCTCTCT